AGAACTCCTCTTCTGCGCCTCCTTCATCTTTTTCTGCTTCTTTTTCGTCTGCTTTGCGCTCTCAAGGATTTCTGTTCATTGTGCAGCTTAGCTTACCTCATTTGGCTGCATTTCCTGCAGGCCTCATTAACCTTTCGCGCACAGCCCATTCATTGTCTACTTTGTTGGGCCACTGCCACGCCCACCCATTACGCAACGCTAACAAACAATTTAATCGGGACAGCGGGCGCCGCTCTCTGGACGCCAAGTGCAAATAATAGAAATTCATTGCCAAATTGCATAGAAAATCGTGGCGAGCACAGGCAAGGACTCGGCGCCGCGGGCAACCAGCTTGGCACCCAAAGTAACTTTCTGAGGCAGCGTTTTAATTACCGCAAACGGCGGCAGTAAGCGCATTACGTATACGCCGCGTTCCAGCTGCCGATAAAATCGCATTTAACGCAAGTTAATTAAAATGCGCGCACTGCGCTCGCACACTCTCTTCGTCTTTTACTATTTAATTAAAACTTAATTTTACAATAGCTGCACTTCTCCTCGCAGTTGCCTTCTCACGCACGAATCGTATTCTCGATCCAGTCGATGTAGTCCGAGACGCGTGTGTACACCCCCGGCCACCCCTCCAGCCCGCAGCGGTTGCCAAACGAGACGACGCCCTCCAGGTACCACGCCTGCCTGAAACGCATCAGCGGCCCGCCCGAGTCGCCGTCACAGCTGTCCCGCGAGAACTCGCCGCCGGCGCACAACTGCGAGCTGATCACGTTGATTTGCCGCGTTGCGAACTTCTCCATGCAGTAAGTGGCGCTTGTTACCGGCACATCCAGTCGCTGCTTGACATTACTCTGACGACCTGAAAGGCAGCGAGGAGGTGTGATTAGTTATCTGTACCTGTATCTGCATCTGCATCTCCATCTGTATCTCTATCTGTATCTCTATCTGTATCTCTATCTCTATCTGTATCTCTATCTGTATCTCTATCTGTATCTCTATCTGTATCTGTATCTGTATCTGTATCTGTATCTGTATCTGTATCTGTATCTGTATCTGTATCTGTATCTGTATCTGTATCTGTATCTGTATCTGTACCTCTGTATCTTACTTACGTTGCAATGTGCGTCCCCAGCCGCTGACAACGAGCATTTCGTTGTCGTTAATAGCTGATCGAACGCTGGACAGGGGCAGACAGATGGGCTGGATGTACTCGTTGAGCTGGACAGGTGAGCTGAGACGTATGAGCGCGATGTCATGATGACGATGACGACTGCTGGCATCATATTGTGGGTGCGGAATGGCCTCTTCAACGCCCAGCTCCAGCACGGGCTGATTGCAGTCACCCATCACGCAGTCCACATCAGTGCTCAGATCATATTCACCCAGTCGCACGCGAGAGCTGAGGGGAATTCGAAATAGTATTAGTTCCAAGATACTGCCTTGGGTAAACTTCTGCACTTACAGTTGTCCCACCTCTGTCTCGATTTCGCCCGTCACGCAGTGGGCAGCGGTCACGACATAGCGATTGTTTATCAAACTGCCGCCGCAGTTCAGAAGTCTTTCGCCACTGCCTGTAGGTGGAGACGTGATATATTAGAAATAATCTGACGAGATGGAACTATGTGACACTCACGACTTCTATATTCCAGCAGTGCCATCCACACAAAGTCATCTAAAGCCGTATCGTTGCCATTGTAGATCCGATTGTGGAAGGAGTTCGGTCCACATGCGGGAGCACGCNGTATCTGTATCTGTATCTGTATCTGTATCTGTATCTGTATCTGTATCTGTATCTGTATCTCTATCTGTATCTCTATCTGTATCTGTATCTGTATCTGTATCTGTATCTGTATCTGTATCTGTATCTGTATCTGTATCTGTATCTGTATCTGTATCTGTATCTGTATCTGTATCTGTACCTCTGTATCTTACTTACGTTGCAATGTGCGTCCCCAGCCGCTGACAACGAGCATTTCGTTGTCGTTAATAGCTGATCGAACGCTGGACAGGGGCAGACAGATGGGCTGGATGTACTCGTTGAGCTGGACAGGTGAGCTGAGACGTATGAGCGCGATGTCATGATGACGATGACGACTGCTGGCATCATATTGTGGGTGCGGAATGGCCTCTTCAACGCCCAGCTCCAGCACGGGCTGATTGCAGTCACCCATCACGCAGTCCACATCAGTGCTCAGATCATATTCACCCAGTCGCACGCGAGAGCTGAGGGGAATTCGAAATAGTATTAGTTCCAAGATACTGCCTTGGGTAAACTTCTGCACTTACAGTTGTCCCACCTCTGTCTCGATTTCGCCCGTCACGCAGTGGGCAGCGGTCACGACATAGCGATTGTTTATCAAACTGCCGCCGCAGTTCAGAAGTCTTTCGCCACTGCCTGTAGGTGGAGACGTGATATATTAGAAATAATCTGACGAGATGGAACTATGTGACACTCACGACTTCTATATTCCAGCAGTGCCATCCACACAAAGTCATCTAAAGCCGTATCGTTGCCATTGTAGATCCGATTGTGGAAGGAGTTCGGTCCACATGCGGGAGCACGCGGCAGCAGATTTCCACCCTGTCCAGGGCTCGGATTTGTGATCGGGATTGGTCTTCGTGTTGTTGTTGTGGTTATCTCCATTGAACTGGCTGTTGTTGTTGTTGTTGTTGTTGTTGCAGACTGAAAATTGATATCTCGAGTGCAGCAGACATAAGGCAAGCGGCCGAATCCATTCTCACATTGTGATTGCCGCAGAAAGGTGCGCTCGTCGTTGCTCAGCTGCAACTTCTGCAGCACATTCAGAAGAGGCGGACAGTCATAGAGCGATATGCAGTAGCCCACATTTTGATTTGGATTCCGACAATTCACTGCAATGCAAGCGAGGATAATTAAAGTGATGCAAATTAAGTTATTGTTGAGTTGGAGTTAAATGAAAGCAGTTTAATTTAAATATGATAAATGATAAGCTTGTGAAATTGTGTAGGTAAATTTGTATAGGACGAGCATAGATAATTAAAATTGGTTTTCTAAGACAGCGTAATCACAAATACTAAGAGGATGCGATGGAGCTTTCTCAGAAACTAATATTAATTTTTTTTTTTTTGGTAAACATATATACAAAAGTTGCATGTCTTAAGTTCCAGTGTTTTCAATCATGATTTATTTATTTAAGAAACTTTGTAGCACACGCGTTYGTTTCTGCCTAGCTAACTCTTAATTGATAGTGTAAACTCTGTATATATTTTATATTTGAAATTTATTTGTATATTTCAGTCATATATATAAATATTTTCCTGAATTACCCAATTAGTCAGAACTTTGCAGTTAAATAAATAATTGCTCTCAATTATATTAATGTATGCTGATTATTGGAAATACAAATAGCCCAGAGTAACTAGACCTATATTTGCGTAAGATAATTAATTGATTAAATGCAGAATTCAGTTTAAGCATCAATTAAAATATTTATAATAAATGTGGTAAATTATAAATGTACTTTCTAGTTTAATGCAATTGTTATCAATTAAATGATTCAAACAATTATTTCCTGTATTTTATACACATATTAATAAATATACTATAGTTGTGCAAATACAATTTACGAATTGCCAACAAACAGCGGCCAAGCAAGTTTGTTATATTCATAAATATTCATATTAAAAACGAGGCGCCACAGCGTGTAAAGAACGCACGCCAATAATTAAATATAATTAATGGTGATCTGATAGCCGGAGATGGGGATTGGGAGAGCGGCGCTGATCGAGAGTCTTAGAGTCAAGTTCACACAGCGGATGATTCACTGAAAACCCGTAACGCGCAACGCGCAATTGTTTTATTTTAATTTTTGCTTTACTAACTTTGTGCGTTAGCTGGGCTGTGCAGCACCGCGATGATGAGGAATCCCAGAAATGGAAACATTAATATAATTGTGGGAAATAACACACAAATGCCTATGACCAAAAAATCCAAAAATCCCATTCAGCGTAATACGTGTGCGAGCCGACCTTGACGCGGTCACTAATCGCGGCGAACTGATCTGAGCAACAGCTGTGACAGGTCTTAAATAGCCGCTGACAACGCTGGGAGAGCTTTGAAGCGACTCTTCGTTCGATCCGTGAGCGTCGATTTCGTGTGAGTGAGTGAGACGGGGCTTATGAGAGAGTGCAAGCTAGAATGTCGATAGAGTGCTGACAAGCTGAGAGCGTGAACAAGAATGGAAGTGGAACGTGGCAGTGGAAGCCGGAACAGCAGCTGGATTGCAAGCGTGTCAAGCGGCAATGAATTTGTATATTAAAAAGTGCGAGATATAATGGAAATGGAATGCTAAAGTAGAGGAAGGAAACAGCTATCGAGCTGTCAGTCGAATGTACACAAGTCAGAGCAAAAAGAATAAGAGAGAGAGGGAGAGAAAAGGAGCGCGTAAAACGGTTCAGTGCTGATAGCGAAAGTGAAGTACAGCCGCTGCACTGCACTAAATTAAATAATATTCGAGAGGAAATGTAGATAAAACTTCGAAAATTGCATTTACGAGTATATCGTTTAAGTATGACAGACGTAATTAAACGAAACGTTTGGACAATTTATAAAAGACTTCATGTGAATGCATACTATTAAAGGCATAAATTCTTGTCTCTAATAATAATCTTAAATGGGATTGAATATTGATTGAATTGAATTGGTAGAGGCGGTGCCAGTTAGTTCACTTTTAGATAGCATCGGGCATATTTATTTTTCTATTTTTGTACAAATTTTATATGACAGTATTGGTAATGCGCGCTGTTAAGTGTAAATCCTAAAAATGGTTTTGTTCTATTTGCTTAGTTTTTAGCCAAATTTTAATATGCATTAGGATTCAGAGCATCTTCAATTCGCTCTCGATTGGAGCTTTCTTACTTGATTTAAATTGACAACTCAACTGGTCAAACCTAGGCTTAGCTGGCCTTGTGCTAATACTCAACAAACACAACACAATACACATAACATAAGAAAGAAAACAAAAAAAATATACATATTCTATATACAGTATTATTGTATACGGGCACATACATATTAAAAAATATAATTCAAAATGGAGTCTGAGGACAGATCGAAGGAGGTAACTGATGACAAATCCAAAGACACATTGGATGACAAGTCAAAAGAAGGAACTGATGAAAAGCGTAGAGAAACAACCGATGAGAAGAATCGCGCTGTATCTGAAGTCAACTCCATGTTGCTACTGGGCACAGCCTCCTCGCGCGCCAAGTCCATGTCCAAGTTGTATACAGGAAATAGTCCGCTCGCCTTGCGTCGCACCACTACTATTCAGGTGCCGAATGTGGACGTGAACAAGTCGCTGCATCGCTTCAAGCACCGCAACCCGAACGACCCGCCCAGACCTAAAGTCGAGATGGATATGATATTATATGATGAAAAGTACAAGCCCAACGATACTCCGGATTTGTATGACCGTGAGCCCAGCTTCCGGAAATTCAAGATACCCTAGTAAGTGTAAGTATAGGAATCTTAAGAGCATCGCGAGTAATACCTGTTCATGATGCTCACATAGTCCGATGATATGCGCCAAACGATATCAGGACTCGATTAGGGCATACGAAGCGCAACTGGAGCACGAGATCAAGCAAAATATTGACTTCCAAAGAACTGCATCCGATGCTTGTTATTTCATGCGGTAATTACGAATAGCTTTTAAACCTTCTTAATCATTTATATAATTATACTTTCCCGTGCAGTTGTGTAGCTTATACGACATTTTGGCCCCCATTGCACAACATGACCGAGGTGAAGCATACGTCCAAAAACTTCTTTCAGCTCACCAAAAAGGAAAAATGGCGCCTGAACAACATTATGAATACAGATATAATATAGCTAAGCGATAGGTCATTCGATACTTTTCTATTTTGCATATTCGAATCGGGAATGTGCACTCCAATAAGTCGACGAACGCTGAGAGTTATCAGACGAAATCAACAGCCGTCATATAATAATGCGAAACATAAATATGTACTGACTCTTAAGCTATAAATATACACGTGCTCGAACAAGTAGTCGTTTATTTATGGGATTTCCCAACGATTGCTGGAATTACTGTACATTTAGCAGCATTACAGCAGCAAATAGCAGACATTTTAGACATTTCCCATCAATATAGTTAAGACGTATTAACTGAATGACAATCTTGACTATTTCCAGCTTATATTGCCACTGAGCCCTGTAATTTCCTAGCTCAAATAACTTCTAGCATGTCATGCATATTACAAGGCGAAGCAGGAGCAAAGGCTAAACTTTGATAGAAAAAAAAGCATTCTTATGCAGCTTTTGCATTTTGCCTGTTGCCATCGAACCGAAGCAAAGCGCATCGGATCAGTTGCTAGCCATGGTCCAGTTGCAGCTGGTCCCTCTCGGAATACTCTTCATTATTTGAGCAGTCGGCCTGCCTTTTCTCCACTTTTTTGTCCACTGTCGTAACAGTTGGATTGTCCTTGTAAAAGTCATGAGTATTAATACTGATGCCTAATCAGATAGGGAATCTTTTAAGAATTTTTCAAAGAAAATATTAAATTAATAGAAAATTCCTATATGAAAGAAGTTATTGATCCAATGAAAATAAAATTAAAAAATCATGTTTAACATGTACCAGAAACCATCTAAGTACTGTTGGCACGGTCTAAAGGTGTACCAACTAAGCATACTAGATAAGTTTTATATATTTTATATTTATAAATATAGTATTATTTACTTAAAGTGAATTATTTTATTTTATTCTCTTGTGAAATGAGTGTATAAGGAAATCAAAAAAAAAGAAAACAAATCTTTTATAATATACTATATTAAATATTAAATAATATTCCATGTAAAATTTTCTCTGAAGTAATCTAGCTTATTATTGAAACTAATTTGTTTTGCCTAACTCGTAGTTTGCTTAAATGACTTTTCGATATTTCCTTTTAGATTATACATACACAATTTTTTTTCATGTGAGCGATAAATCATAAGTTTACACTTGACTATTGAGAATGTTAGTCCAAATATGCCCCATATCCTTTTGCACTCTTATAGCTAATGAACTGCCTGCAGGGTATGCGTTAGTTCATCAATTACGTCACCCCCACTTGTTGTCGTTTGCTTGTGTGCGTAGTGTGCCGCCTGTCGGGCCGGGCATTCATAGTTTGATGTCCGGCTTGCACTGGCAAAGCTGTAAAAGCAAACACGTGACTCCACAGCTTAGCCGACTGCTTGAGCCTAGCCTGGGCGCATTTTTCAACTAACTAGGTACGGGCTGGCACCGCTTGCTCAGCGGCTGATACTTTGTTGTCCTGTCGCTTGCTTCCATGACATTTTTGCCATGTTTGCACCGCTTGAGGACAGCGACTGACGCTTCTATTGTCCAGCTCTATGCCAATTTGTTGTAGTTCTTGTCTTTGTTGTTGTTGTTGGCTTTCGGTGTCCTTTTTGTTTTGTGTGCTGGCTTAGTTCGGGTGGCGTTTGCCATTTCATGGCTGTATTCACTGGCTTTCAGCACTGTTGTCACTTGTTGGCCCCGCCCCTAAATGCCTGCTGCCCCTGTTGACTGTTGTGCTGCCGTTGCATTGTTTGATAATTTTCCTGCTTGCTGCAGGGATTTCAGTATCTGCGCCCCGGATGCGGCTCGGCAATGCTAAAACTTGTTGACCGTTGCAGCAGCCTACTCGGATTTAGTAAAAATTCTGCCTACGGCTATAGAATGCTGCATGCCTCATGCTGCATGCAGCATGCAACACGTACAACTTTTATCAGCATAATGATGAAATTACAGCCGCCCTTAGAGCAGATGTTGGGTATCGGCGCGTTGGCGAATTGCCTCGTTCGCAAACAGCTTTTGCTGCAAAGTTTAAGCAAAGTTTTAACGCCCTTCTGACAACAGTTGATTTAGCCATAATGTAGCTAAAAACCCAGCTATATGATAATAGGCAGCTAAGGGGAAAATACTTTTTCTTTGAATTTTAAAATAATGTGAGCTAGGAAAACTATTAGAATATAATAGAACATTAATCAAGTTTTGATATTCATTGAAATAAAAAATATATATTAAAAATTAAAAGTAAAATTCTCTAATAAAATCATTAAGAAACTGTTAATTCATTCGATGCCTTAAAACTCATTAATTTAATTGAGATTCTGTGTCGGTGCCTTTCCATCGTCGCTTGGCATAGCTACGTGTCCTTGAGAATGGAAAAGTCAAAGATGATTTCAGTGCTGTCTGTTAAGTTTTCTGGCTGATAATTACGTGTGTCAATCTGATGTCAGAGAGCTGGCCTGATAATAGTAAATCAGGCTGCGCAGCTGACAGCCATTGGAGGCGACTTCAATTATGAAAAAGTCCGAGTTTTAATTAGTAAACATATTTCCAGGCAGCACACCTGCCCACACACCTGAATTGACTGCTGCAATGTTTACATTAAAAGCAAAACGAGTTCAAATTTATAACTCAATTTGCATGCCTTGTTATTTTTGTATTTTTGCTTGTTTTGTTTTGCCTTTTAAACTGCAGTTTTTCCGCTATCGCACATAAATTGAGCGCCAAACAACAACAGAACAACCGGGCGCCATGCAAGAAACAACAAGCAAAAATATTCAAATTAGCCCAAAGGACACCCAAATACAACAGGCCACACACACACACGCACACAGAAATGGACATGTTTATCTAGTGACCTTTTAATTTGAATTTGACCAAGAGCGGGTAAAGCCAAGCGAATTAATGAACTAAAAAGAATGCAACAAAAGCCGGCATCCAGCCACTGGAACCGCCGCAACCACACCCGGAGCCACTGAAGCCAGCTCCGGCAAACACATGTTCAATTAGGTAAATGCGCATTTGGACGGACATTTTTACGGGCAACGGTGCGTATGTGTAATTTGTGAAATGCATAACTCTCAAGCCTGCCACATGCAGTTTAATTAGTGTTGCGTAACGCCAAAGCATAATCATACTTTCAAGTGCTGCACAACGTCAACTACGCCAACTGACCTCGCCGAATTTCCAGCGCCAACTTTTCCGCACGACTATTTAAAATTAAGTTTCAATTAGCTGTGCAGCGAGCCATACGAGTCGCCGTTTTCCATTGTCATGTGGTGCTAAATGCATGGGACAGGTATAGTGTGAGAGAGCGAGAGGTGAAGAGTGGAGAGTGGGCAGACGCAAAAATAAAATTTGCAGCTAAAATTTCGGCGGAATTTTCCTGCACTTTATATTAAAATGCTGGTTACCCTGGTTTATTTTGCGAAAGTAATTAATAGTAGCACACAATCAAATTGATATTTCGTGAAAGGACAGGAAGTCGCAATTTTTGTACACGGCTTTCAATTTATTGTGCTTTTGTATACTGTTTTCAGTTGTCATATCCGTTTAAACAAATTTTGAGTTTAGGCTTATTATAAATATCAGGAGCTTCAAACTTATTAAACTCTTAAAAGAAAATTATTCTAATTTTTTATAATATAGATTTATCTTTTATTATTATATAAATATTGAGTTTTAAATAAATAATCTGTAAATTATGACACAATGCTCAAAATAAATTCGATAAGAATTTAACACAATTAAGCCATGCCAAACATTTAAAATCAAGCTAAAGCGTTTAGCTGAGCACCTGATTAAAGCACCAGCTTAATAAGCACCTATATTTTCATATATATTTTTGCTCTCACTCACTCCCAGCTTACTGCGCTTAATGTCGTATGCTAATTTCCGCAACGCATTTTAGACAGCACTACGAAACCATGTAAATATGCCCGCCTGGCGATTCGATTAGCATTTAGTGCTACGCACGAGCAGCAGCAGCAGGAACAATAATTGTTAAAACAAGTAAAACAAATATAGAGGGCAGTTTTACAGACATGTCGTAATGAAAAGAACAACTAAAAACCCATTAACCCACATTTATGCACACTTTAATGCCTCAACATGCATGGCACTCAGCTGTCGGCCATGTGTCTGTGTGAGTGTGTGTTACAACAACACTGCGCTGGCCACTTGTGTAGACTTGAAATGCATTTCACTGTCGTACAACCTTTTCATTTGCCAGCACCAAATCCCCAAAGAGCAAATGCTGACTAGGACACCAGTCAACACTAGTCAACACTGGCCGACAAACAACAACAAAAACAATGGCTAAGGCAACAACTACAATCATAACAACAACAATATCAACAAAGCCTGCCAAATGTCGCATGCAGGCCAGTCGCAGGCTCTGCCGCATGCTTTATTAACATTTGTTGTGCCAAAGCGTCACAAGTGGCACTTCAGGCCGTTTCCGTGGTGCGAGCAGTGCGGCAAGCAATGTCTGTCTCGTTCTGGCCGCGCAAGCAATAGCTCGCCGCACTGCTCGCACAGCTAAGAGCTGGTCTGCACAAAAGAGCAACGCTTAAGAGAGCGAAAGCTCTGCCGCTTCGGCCTGCACAGCCGAAGTGCGTGTCGGCCGAGCTCAGTCTCGTTCGTCGCTTCGTGACGAGCGCTCAACAGCGGCACACACAGCGGTATGCTAAGAGTTTTCTTCCACTTCTTTTTACGTCGCATTTTTGACGTGTCGCAACATAAACTGAATGCAAAACTGAAACTTTCATTTGGCTATTTGCTTCGAGGCTGGCTGCGAAGCGTAAAATTGATAGTAGTTGATGCCAAAGGGCTGGCCAGGCCCAGAGTCCGACCATACATAAACGCATTGACATAGTTGTGGGCATAGTTTTTTGCTCCTGCTGCGGGGCAACGTCAATGGCCCGACTCAAAGTTGGGCACGCCCAAAGTTCCTCGTCAAAGTCGTTCAGGTGTGCTACAAAAAGCGAAACTTTGTCTGCCAACTGCAGTTGCACTCTGCAGCAGGCAGGTGGCACGCGAAACGAAGAAGCTGAATGTATTTATTTTTATAGCTGTTCATTAGTTGGCAGTTGCCATAATTTCAATTTTATGGCTCCGGCTAAGCGAATAAGCCGAAAGGATTTCAGTTCATTTTTACTAATATCACATTTAGCTGCAAATTGAGGCTGTGGCTGTAAAATGTGTATA